GCTTTCCAGGAAATATGTACAAATTTCAACATTTCTCACCTCAGAATTAACAAAAAAGGAATGAATTTTAATTAATCTTTTACAGTCATTTAGGTGAGAAATGTTTAAAAAGCCCCATAACTTGCTTATTGTGTACAAGAAACGAAGGGAAAAGAAACTTAAGACAGTGAGAAGTTTTACCAAGAGTGTATTTTAAGGAATAGAGCTGCCTATGAGTTGCATTTCATACAAGACGGCCAATAAAACAAGTGAGAAATGATGCGAGAACTGTTCAGAGCAACTGTCACGCAATTCCTTGTTTCCTAAAAGTAACTTACAGAAGAATTCTACCGACATCAAAGTTTCTTTAGGGCTACGAAGTTGCCCTTCAGGCAAAGTAACAACTGACGAAGTCATGGGGAATACAATAAAAAGTGAGGACTTCTGTAACAGTGCACTCGAAGTTAATATTTTGTTCGGTGACCTCTAGACACAAGTACAGTTTCAATTCTGTGAGTCACACTTGACATGAGAATATCGATATTCTCTGGATAGAAAATAATCAATCATCAAATACTCCTAAACTTATGCATTAAGCTGTTCAAATGAATCCTTTGTCAAAATCTGTGTTACAGCCTCTTCATCTAAGTAACATTTGATCTGGTTATCTAAATTTTCTATGCAAATAATTATGGACGCATATCAGTCTCAGTATATCCTCTTGGGCCTTCTTCGCACGCTTGCTTGTCTGGGTCGTTGTCCATTAAAAAGAGTCTTCTTGCGTTTCTTTTCGGCCTTGCCTGACCAAATGCTGTATTAAAATGGTTCCTTATTCAACTGAGCGAAGAAATTGGCGTTCATTTTCTCATAAGGTACAGTTAGTGTTACCCCTTTTCTACAAGCGAAGGCGCGTCAGCCAAGTCCTTAGGACCTTAATTAGTATCACCTAATAAAAACCAAAGGCCTTCTCCCTTCTGACGCCATATCAATGATTTTTTTACGTTTCGTTGTATTTGTGGACGAAGGACACGGCATCTAAATAAAAGGCCACTTCGATTCATTCGTCCAAAATAGAGGATTTTTCGCAACTGGACGTTTCAGGTTTTTGCGAGCACCGAATCGTACACTCAACTTGCGATTGTTTTCACTTAGAAGCCCATTTTTCTCTGCTTGTAAATATGCGTAACCATTTTCATTTAGATAATGTGGAAATGTTTTGTACTTGCCATTTCAAAGCTAAACCCACTCTGCTCCACGATGCTTTTTGCTGTAATGTTTTCACAGTTTCTTGCCCTTGATCATGAGTACTTGATACTTAAGCATGCATTCGAAACCGTTGATCTATTCGCCTCCGATCTCGCAATAAATAATACTTACAAGGTAACACCTGGTAACTTTTTTAAGATCGCTATACCTACAAATCCACAACTTTTCTCTAAGTTTCGTAATGTTTAAAACTCCTTTTTCCTATAGAAGGGGTTTTCAGACAACCCTGGTCAAAACTCTTGGGACACTAACGCAATAGCTTGTCAAATTGAGGCATCTTCCCTCCCCCCTTCCCCCTCGGTGCAATGTTGATGTTATGCATTCAAGTTTTAATTCAACACAATCAACACTTATTCCTGTTTTCATATAACTGCCCAAAAGTCCATGTCTTTACTTTCTGCTTAAATTGTGCGTTATTTTGGAAGGTTTTATAACTGCAACAGTAGTATACGCAAATGTGTGAGACGGTTTTGTGTGTGTATTTGTGGGGAAAACTACGTAAAAAAGTGTTTTCATGTTATTTACGTAGGCTTGTTTTGTTTTACAGTGAACTCCGACTTGAAAAGATAGTGCTACAATTTAGTAAAAGAAGTTGATTTTAGTTGTTATCGACTCACTTAAACTGATTAGGGCAGGTCACATGACCAAACGGGACGCTCGGAATGGTCACACGATCTATTCAAAATTCAAATGCAAACGATCGTTTTTCTTAGGGGTGCTAGCAGTTTAGTGATTTCGGTACAGTAACGACCTGCTCATCAGTTTATTTTAGAGGTAGAATCCTTGGAAAATTCAAGGCAAAGAATGGTACATGTCATAACCTATAGTCGTTGGTCATGGGCGCTACCGTTGAGACACTGACACATTTCTCAGTAACATTTCTCACTAAAGAAAAGTGATTTTCAAACGTATTATGTGAGATTCGTACCGCGATCATGGCGAAAATATAGTCAGTGTGATCCCATTTCCTCTAAACGGGCATTTTTTTGGCGCTTTCCAGGAAATATGTACAAATTTCAACATTTCTCACCTCAGAATTAACAAAAAAGGAATGAATTTTAATTAATCTTTTACAGTCATTTAGGTGAGAAATGTTTAAAAAGCCCCATAACTTGCTTATTGTGTACAAGAAACGAAGGGAAAAGAAACTTAAGACAGTGAGAAGTTTTACCAAGAGTGTATTTTAAGGAATAGAGCTGCCTATGAGTTGCATTTCATACAAGACGGCCAATAAAACAAGTGAGAAATGATGCGAGAACTGTTCAGAGCAACTGTCACGCAATTCCTTGTTTCCTAAAAGTAACTTACAGAAGAATTCTACCGACATCAAAGTTTCTTTAGGGCTACGAAGTTGCCCTTCAGGCAAAGTAACAACTGACGAAGTCATGGGGAATACAATAAAAAGTGAGGACTTCTGTAACAGTGCACTCGAAGTTAATATTTTGTTCGGTGACCTCTAGACACAAGTACAGTTTCAATTCTGTGAGTCACACTTGACATGAGAATATCGATATTCTCTGGATAGAAAATAATCAATCATCAAATACTCCTAAACTTATGCATTAAGCTGTTCAAATGAATCCTTTGTCAAAATCTGTGTTACAGCCTCTTCATCTAAGTAACATTTGATCTGGTTATCTAAATTTTCTATGCAAAAATAATTATGGACGCATATCAGTCTCAGTATATCCTCTTGGGCCTTCTTCGCACGCTTGCTTGTCTGGGTCGTTGTCCATTAAAAAGAGTCTTCTTGCGTTTCTTTTCGGCCTTGCCTGACCAAATGCTGTATTAAAATGGTTCCTTATTCAACTGAGCGAAGAAATTGGCGTTCATTTTCTCATAAGGTACAGTTAGTGTTACCCCTTTTCTACAAGCGAAGGCGCGTCAGCCAAGTCCTTAGGACCTTAATTAGTATCACCTAATAAAAACCAAAGGCCTTCTCCCTTCTGACGCCATATCAATGATTTTTTTACGTTTCGTTGTATTTGTGGACGAAGGACACGGCATCTAAATAAAAGGCCACTTCGATTCATTCGTCCAAAATAGAGGATTTTTCGCAACTGGACGTTTCAGGTTTTTGCGAGCACCGAATCGTACACTCAACTTGCGATTGTTTTCACTTAGAAGCCCATTTTTCTCTGCTTGTAAATATGCGTAACCATTTTCATTTAGATAATGTGGAAATGTTTTGTACTTGCCATTTCAAAGCTAAACCCACTCTGCTCCACGATGCTTTTTGCTGTAATGTTTTCACAGTTTCTTGCCCTTGATCATGAGTACTTGATACTTAAGCATGCATTCGAAACCGTTGATCTATTCGCCTCCGATCTCGCAATAAATAATACTTACAAGGTAACACCTGGTAACTTTTTTAAGATCGCTATACCTACAAATCCACAACTTTTCTCTAAGTTTCGTAATGTTTAAAACTCCTTTTTCCTATAGAAGGGGTTTTCAGACAACCCTGGTCAAAACTCTTGGGACACTAACGCAATAGCTTGTCAAATTGAGGCATCTTCCCTCCCCCCTTCCCCCTCGGTGCAATGTTGATGTTATGCATTCAAGTTTTAATTCAACACAATCAACACTGCTTGGGGGAGAGGGGGACAGCAGAAATAGCCCCTTATAACAACATCCTACAGCTTTTTTAAGAGGTAGAATATGAGTTAATTTAGCAAAGTGCGTCTTTTTGTCTAATTTCCTCAAGTGTCCCAAGACGTTTTGACCAGGGTTGTAGTTCCATTCACTTTTTGAGTTCATTAGATTTTACTAATCACAACAGACTCTGTTATTTGTCTTAACATCGCGTCGTCATGAAATGTCCCCGTTACATTCATTACAAAGTCAGGAATGTTTCCGTCATGCCTGTGACATGAGTGTCTCCACATTACCGAACTCTCCTCCCGTCTTTCCAGTGCATTCAGGTGCTCTTTCCCGCGGGTATAGGCGCTTCATGATGTTTCCCCAACATACTTATTCTTGCAGTCTTGACATACTAGCTCATAAATAACTCCAACCAGTACTGCGGCAAGATCCCTTTCCGCTATTTCGGCAGACGAAGTATTCAACGTTTGAGCATGTTTTCTCTCTGAAAGGATCTGACCTTTGTAATACGCTCTTTATTGTTGCACCTGACTGTTCAACGACCTTGATCTTCACAAATAAAAACTGCCTTAACTTCTATACGATCCCGATATTTCTGGAAATTCGTGCGCAAATACATGAGATATGATATTTCTATCTGGTCTTTGCGAACGAGAGAGTATATAGTACGTTCCATCCATGTTTCTAAGCTGAATATTCACTGATAATTATATCCTTTTTTAGTAGACTTAACTGTCACAAAATTAGTTTTAAGGTGCTTATTTAATTCTTTAATATAATTCACTTCCTAAGTCACCAAAAGAAAAAGGCAAGAGATAAAAGACCGTACAATTTTTTGATGAGACAGTGAGATCTCTCCAATCGTTCCATGCAAGGGAATCCAAGACAGTCTTAGATTTTGGATTCCACGCCTTGGATTCCACAGCAAATATACATTTTAAGCACCTTAATTCTTTTAAGATTGACGATGGCAATAAGGATCTTTTGGAAATGAAGAGGACATGTAAGTACTCGTTACCTTTTGCATACTTTCAACTTCACAAATGTACTTACTGTTTATTGATTCGCAGATTTCTTATCCTGGTTTAATTTTTTTTTTTCAACAGTAGCAGAAGTGCACAAGGGTGTTGGTAACAAACGTTTCGGTAAACATGATTTTGTTCAAGCCGTTTACTTCTACGGAAGGAATCAATGTGAACAGCCAGGATGACGAACTAAACGCCAAGCTTTACCACAACAGGGCGACCGCACACTTTTATGCGGGTAGAGTATTTTTGTTTTCTTGTAAAAACTAATTTCAACCTTAAGGAATGAAAAGAACAATAAACAAAACAAAATAAAACAAAAATGATCATAGAAGATTAAATTAAAAGGAGTGATGAAATATTGTAATTTTAAAAAATGATATGGACCTCAACACAGTCATCACCCTCTTGAACACTACGGTATCTGATGACAATTTAGCACATAGGATCTTGTGCATTAACTGATCTGAAACTTAATCCAGCGAGTTCTCAGTGACCGGTAGTCCAAGCATGTCCTGCGTGGCAGGCGCAAAATACAGAGAGGGAGGGAGAGAAAAAATGGAAAAGGGAAAGGAGTGCGTGCTATACGAAGCCAGTTATTTTGCATAATAACTCCCTTTTCCCTCCTTCCCCCTCCCCTTTCCACGCCTATCATGATGCAGGTGAGATCAAGCCAGGAAATGTAGCCTGAGTATCAGGCCTTCCTACGGGGCTAGGGGAGAGGAGATTTTAGATGGGGGAGGGGGGAGGGGGAGAAGAGAAAGGAAGGCCTGACACAAAACCATTCAGCAAATCGTGTGACACATCCAAAATCTGGATGTGGCAGTGATTGGATAACACACAATACCCCCTGACGTCACCGACCGCAAGAGAGATCGGCAAGGAGACGGTCATTGAAATTTTTCATAGATGTTTTGATTTCATGTTACCGCGGTATGTGATGCTTTTACAGACAGAGACGCAGAGAGGAATTCAAAAAGGCTCTAGAGGGCGCTCTCAAGTTCTTTCCTGGAATAAAAATAAAACCCGAGCAAGAATTGTGTTTTCAAGGCCTCGTAGTTTAAAGGAAACATGTACTCGAAGTAAGGAAAAGCCTCATATACCATCTTCTATGTCCAAGTATTGGTTTCACAAGACCGGGACAAAGAAGACGATATCACTGTTTCAGATAACTAAGTTCAGATTTACAACATCCTGCCGTTAAAAGGGTATTGTTACTGTAAATAAAAATAGAGCGAGGTAGCCATGTATTGAGATAGCCGCGGGGATAGCCGACAGCACCAATGCTTTTAAAAAGCTTGACTTTGCTTGTTGCGGTTACGATAACGTACGTGATTGGAATTCGTTCGCTTCCTCTTCCAAAATCATCTCACTTTTGAAATGTCTTAAGCTCAAGCGGGCGCCATCATATTTCGCCAACGGGATTGACCTTTGCTGTAGGCTCTCACTTGTTTTGAACTTGTAACAGCTTTCACGAGCTCTCTGTGAAGTGGTGGAATCTGCTGCCGCTTGATAATTTCTAGGCATAGGTGTGTCACTATCGAACTTCCTATATATTCTCACAGCTCCTTTCAACCACGCGAGAATACGAGGGATAACACCATCTTTTTAGCTGCCAGACAAGCGCCTGATTTAACTCTGTAAACAAAAGCAATTTACAATTTTCCGGGCACACGTTTGTTTACAAACAGAGCGTTGGCGATCTTACACTAGCACAATTCCTAAACCCTGCTATAATTCCTCATAAACGGCAGGTTTTACATTACAAGTATTCGAAAACTCCTCATTGGGACTCATTGGAGGTTTCAGAAAAAAGCGAAATCGTAGCAACACAAGCACCGGAGCTCGGCCCGACCGTTAAGTTAGATTTATTTTAGGCGAGCTTTTTGACACGTGAAGCTGACAACCCAATGACCGGAAGTGATTTTGATTGGATGGTATCGAATCATGCTGTGTGAGGGTGGAAGGCTCCAGTAAAAGCATCTGTGTCAGGCGTTTCTTTCCTTCACCTCTCTTCCTTTTTCGCTTCCATTTTTCCCCTTTTCCCCAGAAACGCCTGATACTCAGGCTACAGGAAATGTGATTAACATGACTCTTGTGACTCTCTTTTTCCCGACACACCAGTTCTTCTTTTACAAACTTCTGAAGTGAATAACGTATACAGATACATTCTTTCATAGGTGAAAATTATTATTATTTTTTATTGTTGTTTTTTTTTTATTTCCAGGAAATTATGAGGATTCACTTAGTGACTACAAGGTTGCAGTATCATTACATCCCACTTACTTAAAGGCTATAGTCAGAGGTGAGAATAGATTATAACACAGTTTATCACGCTACACAATGAGAAGTCTTATAACCCAAAACTTGCTTTACACCAAACCTTTTATACCCCTGATTTAAATGGAGATAACATCACTACCATTTAAATCTTGAATTCTTTATACATTAAAATTTGTTTTAAAAAATATGGGCATTTGGAACTCACGTTCAGAATAGGACCACCATAGTTCAAGTTAACCTGAAATCAGTACAAGGTCAGGAAACAAAGGAGGACAGGGCTCGTTCATCTCCATGTGAGTTAAGAATACAAGATATATCTCATGGCCGGGTTCCAAAAACTTCGTAGCCATGATCGTATTTTACTAAAACCCTTAGAAACAATTAAAACATGTAGCTTTCTAAAGGACTGCTGATGAGTTATGAAGACGTGTAAGATAGAATTCAGTGGCATGTCTCAATTTCACGTAGGAGCGACTACCTGTGTGAAGTTGAAGAAGTTTGAAGAGGCTAAGAAATGGTGTGAGCAAGGGCTTTCAGTATCCTTTACTGCCTGCAAATGATCTTTGAAACTACTTCAATCGTATTTCTATTATATTGTCCATTTTTGCCGATAATGACATTCTCCTTTCTCAAATAAGGGTAGATCCTTTAAGTTTCACTGTAAAGAATTTTACTTATACTGTTTCTTAAAGGAAACGTAAAAGGCCTAGTTCATCCTGTGGTTTTTTGTCTCTGATGTTAAATTATTATTATCAACCGCGTCCAACTACCAAATTGCGATCGGTTCCATGACGCCGTCCACCATTTACAATGCTCATAATTTGTAAGTATCAAATGTTAAACCTGATTTTTCTCCGCTAATAAAGAAAAAGCCTGCATCTATGAGGAAAACAGCCCAATTCAAACAATTATAACAACTAAATCGTTAATCACATCTAGAGAGCGAGTGGTAGAACAGTAAACAACACCTGTTAAATCTTTAATTAATAAGGATTTGCATAGCGCGAGAATCTCGTATGCTGTGATCCAGGATAATTCATAAATTGATGTTTTCTTTTTTGCTCTTAATATTTCTTCCTGGAAAGCTTCAAGCTCCTAATTAAATTGTTAAGGGACGGACCATTATGGGGGAGGGGTGGGGATTTTTGCCTTACAAGAACTTTTTACTGGCCGATTGCCTGTGCAAGAATTTTTTTTTTTTAAGTGCGACCGTTTGTAGGAATTTTTTTCGGAAAATTTCATTCACACGTTTTATTCATTAAGATAAATGAAAATGACGCTGCTTCGTTTTATTACAGAGGTTGCTCTATAAACGTGACTTTCACTGTTCAAGTTTACACTTATGACTCACAATACTAAAGTTTAATTGATGTAACTTGCACAATGACTGTCCTAGACGGCATGGCGCCTTTCTTTTGCTCTTATGCCACCACTAGGCAGGGAATGTAAGTTTTTTTTTTTTCATGAAAATCGTATGCTGAGATGCCTGCATTTCACAGAACACTGTGTAAGTCCTTTTATTAACGTCTTACACAGAGCGTACTCATGCGCAATGTCTTGATAGAAACGCTGGTGTCCAGACACTACAGCTTAAACTATGCAACTGACTATAAGTGAAAGTTATTTGTATCTCATTAGTGATTTAGGAACATTTTAAATTTGAGAAATGATCAAAACATGAGAAAATATTGCAGAATGGCTTTAACTCCCAGCGCAAAAAGTCCAAGTCTGAATATTTGATTATCTTCTTCGAGAATATCGGAGCTAAAAACTCAGCTGTGTTTATAAGCTATAAAGTCAAATATCTTAATATACTTTGTTATTTTAAGAGCTATTGATCAGTTTCTAAATTTGTTTTCTCTTCTCTTCTCTAGTTCAGGCTGAGGTTTTTCCCTCCCACCAAAACACGTGGTCATTCTAATACCCAGGGTACCAGAGGGTTTTTTCTCGCGTATGGTGGGAATCTTCTTTGTCGAACAGACACCGAAGCCGCAAGCGGTAAAGCAAAAAAACTCACTTTTGCGCGTGTCACTATAAGAAAAAAACCTTGACACACCCCCAACCCCCCTGCCCCCCATCAGTTTTCTAATGGTCCTTTCCTAAATATCCTCTGGCAAAGTCATCCGTCCCAGTCTTTTTTTAACTTCAAACAAACCTTGTTACATGTCTTGACTATCCTAAGATTGACAAGTTTGACAAGACGCTCTTAAATATAAAGCATTCATGGATCATGAATAAGTTCTCGGAAGTCGAGGCTTGCATGAGATCGGGCACTGCTTTTAAACGTCCAGATGATTTCAACAAAGCCATAGAATATCTCAACATTGTTCTTGGTGATGTCAAAGAAATGGGAGAAAAAGTTTTGGAGGAAAAAGCCTATAGCTATCTTGCTCGTGCTAATGCCGGTCTTAGTGATTATAAAAAAGCCGTGGTCAACTACAACCTACTTCTTAGCGCTGCTAAAAGCTTAGGGGACAAGCTTGAGGAAGGAAATGCGTATGCAGGTCTTGGTGACGCTTTGTTACGCCTTGGTGATTTCAAAGAGTCCCTGGATTATTACAAATGTGCCCTGAGCAATGCCGAAGATCTGAACGACAAGGAAAAAATAGCCATTGCATATGGAGGACTAGGAAATGCTTCCCATGCTCTTGGACATACTAAAACCGCGATCAGCTACCTGGAACGGAGTCTTGACTATGCCAAAAAAATCGGAAACAAAAGTGAGATAGGAAAAACATACAACATGATAGGCCAAATTTTTCACAACCTTGGAGACTATAAGTCGTCCATAGAGCACCACAAAAGTTCCCTTGATATTGCCAAAGATGTCGGAGACGTGGTCATAGAAAGCGAGGCGTATGGTGGTCTTGGCATTGCTTATGACAGTTTCGGGGATTTCGAAAAAGCCATTTATTACCATAGCCAACAACTTAGGATTGCTAAAACTGCTGGAGACAAAGTTGGTGAGGCAGTTGCAAATGGCAATCTGGGAAACTCTCATACCGGTCTTCAAAACTTCGAGAAAGCCCTCCAATACTACAAACAGCGCCTTAGTATTGCAAACGGTCTGGGAGACAAGGCTGGGGAAGGACGCGCGTATTTTCATCTCGGCAAAACTTATGAAAAACTTGGTCATTATGGTAAAGCTTTTGAATATTACACCCTTCGTCTCCGTATTGCTGAAGATCTGGGAGACAAGGCTGGGAGAGGGGATGCCTATGGCAGTTTAGGTGGAGTTTTCCTGTGTTTTGGAAATTGGAAAAAAGTTGAAGAACTTTTCAAACAACGGCTTAGAATTTATGAAGAGCTTGAAAATAACATGGGGACTGCTATTGCTTACTATGGTCTTGGCCAATGCTACGAGTTGATGGGAAGTCTGCCTACAGAAGTCGAAAATTACCGATCAAGCGTTAAAGTGTTTAATGAAATAAGAGGGCTTCTCCAGTCTGAAGATCAATGGAAGATTGGTTTTCGCAACGAATGTAACATTGCTTACATAAGTCTGTGGAGATGTCTGTTAAAACAAGAAAAGATTAGTGAAGCTCTGGCTGCTGCCGAAGAAGGTCGGGCCGAGTCACTAGCTGATCTTATGATTTCTCAGTATGGTTTAAAAGAATGTCAATACTGCCATTACAGAGGAAAACCTCTAGAAGAACAGGACTTTGGCGTGATGAACAGCACTTCATCAAGCACCGTATTCTTAGCTGTAAACGTGCACGAAAACAAAGTAAATATCTGGTTACTTTCGAAAGAGAAACCTGTTCTTCACCGGGGGAAGACACTAGGCCATCATTGTGCAAAGTTTGCAGCTGAAACATTACAGTCCTTAATTCAATTAGCCTACGAAAACATTGGTGTTCGTGGTAATGTTAACTGCGAGAATCGGTCTTTAGATGTGTTACGCGAAGACTGCTCCGGTGTGGAGCGGTCATCCAAAAAGAGCTCACAGCCCATTCTCCAAAAAGATATTCATCCCTTGTCAGCTTTGTACAGCTATGTGATTGCCCCGATATTAGATCTAATTGATGGGGATGAAATAATCATTGTCCCAGATGGTCCATTATGGCTTGCTCCGTTTGCTGCATTACTGAATCCTTCTTCAAAATACTTGTGTGAATCATTCAAATTCAGAATAATTCCCTGTCTGACAAGTTTGAAAATTCTTGCTCATTGTCCAGAATATCACTCCAGTAGTGGAGCTCTAATTGTCGGAGATCCAGACGTGAGTGAAGTTACCAACAGCCATGGAGACCAGCTCGAACAGCTTCCTTTTGCCAGACAAGAAGCACAGATGATTGGGCAGATTCTTAATACGGCACCTCTCACTGGAAAATTGGCAACCAAATGTGAAGTGCTAAGACAGATTAGTTCGGTTGCCGTAGTACACATTGCTGCACATGGACGCATGGAAACCGGAGAGATAGCGTTGAGCCCGAATCCTGAAAGCCGGAAATCGCAGACCCCTGCAGAAGAGGATTACATGTTGACAATGAAAGATGTGATGAGTGTAAAACTGCGAGCCAAGCTAGTTATCCTTAGTTGCTGTCACAGTGGTCGAGGAGACATCAAAGCTGAAGGCGTGGTCGGTATTGCACGTGCCTTTATTGGTGCTGGTGCTCGTTCTGTTCTGGTGTCGCTTTGGGCCATCGATGACGAGGCCACCTTGGAGTTCATGAAAAGCTTCTACCATAACCTTGTTAAAGGGCGAAGTGCGAGCGAGTCTCTTAACCACGCAATGAAATGTCTAAGAGAATCCGAGACGTTCAGCGATGTAAAATACTGGGCGCCTTTTACGCTTATAGGCGATGACGTCACTCTCGACAAACAAGAAGAAATCAGGGTCTCGTAAATTAATTAAGAAACTATGTCCCCAAAAGGCAGAGAGATGGTATGAAACAAAGTCTTCTCGATCTTTCTACAACTTCATCTGACTGTGAGCAAAGTAAATGAGACTTAGATATCGCCTGCCTGAAGTCACCCAAATAATGCCCGTTTGAGTAAAAGAAGCGGTATCTTAATTCTCTTCCGCGAAGAAACAACTCACGGCTGCGTGGGAGACTAGCAGTCTAAGCAAGTGGACAATTTATTTCTATGATAAACTGTAGCAAGGTCAATCTCATGTATCATGTTCTGTTTCATTTTTCGGACAAATGAAGTACTGTGGAACCTACAAAACAAAGAGCCAAGGGACTGGCAAAATTTTTTGGCTTTCACGCGGTTTCGTTTTGTTGAAGTTCTTTTCCATGCATGCATATATTTTACTATTACTGGGTAAAGAAAATCATTCTTTATGCCAAGGACTTCGTTATATAGAGGTTCATTATATCTATGTCCCACTATACAATTGTTCCCTAAAATTTGTAGAGAAAACTAATTACAAGGCTGAAATCTGTGAGTTTTTCTGCTACTATAGAAAGCAACGAGGCCTTAAATGTTAAAGGAGCAGTGTCGCGACTTATAGATGGTGTTTTCTCAGCACGCTAGTTTCATCTGTAGTTTTAAGCAGTATCTGATTGTTATCGTGCAGCAAAACAAAAAGATAAATGATTAAAAAATAAACGTTAAAATTCCTTGCAATGGTATATCTAATTTGATCGGGTCTAATTCAGCTTCCTTCCCTTCGGCATTGCAAAGACGTCTTAAATTAAGGTTCATAGTATACTTCGCAACGCAACATAAGATGTTAACTAACATATTTCGAGATTTGTGCGTGGAATGCAGCTGAACATGAAAGAGTTGCTTATTTAATCCCTTAATTCACTCTTTAAGTCTTCAAAAAGAAAAGGAAAGAAATAAAATACCGTGCAATTTGTTGATGAAACAGTCAAATCTCTCAAGAAGGACCGCCCTTTGGTACCAGCAAGTGTCAGCCTTAGAGTGTTCTCCCTTTTCTCTCTTTAGCCCTTTTACCCCTGATACAGGGATACAAATCTCTTTTTGTAACATCCTACGAAATATGTATAGTGCTGTGTCGTTGGCAGAGTAAAGCGTACAAAATCTGTTTAATCAGCTGAGGTACTAACATAAAGAGATTGAAAAGCTCAGGTTTTGAGCATCAACCAATTTTTAGTGTGAAAATGGCGGGTGGTCAATGCCTTGGGACTCTGTAACCAGGCACAAATCAGTTGAATGAAAGAATTTCATATTGATTCCGTTCCAACTTGGAAGGTAACTGATTGTTCTAAATTTTTGCGGCTTTCCTTGTTACCTTGGTAAAGCGAAAGACCACAGTGAATGAAACGACAACCCTGGAGGAAAACCGTTTCTTATCTTCGCACCTGTCAAAAAATATCTGAACTGGATTCGCCAATTCCAAGCAATGACCCACAGTGGAGAGGTCTTCTTGAAGCGTGAGCTAACGTTAGCTCGTTTTAACTCCTAACCCTTTTATCTCGCCCAAATCATTCACTAACTTTAGCCGTAAGACGGGAGCTGCTAGGCGAAGTATAAGTAAAAGGGAGAAAGGCTTTCCCAACTTCATTGCCAGGGTTTTCTCCTACCCGTCCCTACGGAGAACACTGGGAACGAGGTTAAGGCTTTCCTTTAGCCTTAATTTGCGATAAGCACCCTTAACAGAAGAAGAGCCGTGAAAGCGATCTGAGAGATACCAAGCTCTCGTATAAATCTGAAATCTGTAGACTTTCCTTTTGTAGCCTACCCTACGAGCAGAGTGTATTTGTAGCCCAACCCCTCCTCTCATCGCTATTAGCCAATTAGAGCCATCATAAAACACAACTCGATGCAGCCCCAAAATGATTGTGTTTATGGTTGATGTAGAAGGTTGATGTAAGCAGCAGTCATCTCTACAATAAGGAAAGTGTATATATTTTTTTCAATGCTGAAAGACCCCAAACCGTACTGGCAAATACCGCAAAATACTGAGTTCACCATTTTCCCATAGGCTATAATGCATCTTGTTTACTCTTTACCCCCCCCCCCCCAAAAAGGAAGTTGCATAACCATTGTTTTCACTTTCTCTGGGGACGGCTATAATACCCATGTTACCTAGGAGAAATTGGAAACAATGGTTATGCACTATTTTGGGGGGCTAACAAGATGCATTATGGTCTATGTGAAAATGGTGAATAGAATGTTTATCCGGGAGATTTACTGACCTGTAAAGGATAGCAGAAGATTCGTCAGTAATTTGGGAGAGATCACATTATCACATATGCGATCTTCCAAGTCTGTATAAAAGTCTCTGAACAATCAAATGGCCGGAAATGAAAAATTGTTTGGGAGGGATTGGTCACTTCTGCATGAAAAATATTTTCCGTATTTCTACCCAAGCTTACGGTAATAGAAAAGAGGAAGGCAGGGTTCCTTCCCGGTTTGTTGAAACTCGATATTTTCAATCCGAGGAGTAGCTAGTCTCCCACGCGCGTCGAAGCTCCAAGGAGATCTGCGGAGCAGCTTGTTATCATCCCTCCCAAACAATATCTGCCAGGATCTCGTCAACTGCCAAAATTTTTGCCAAAGATAGCGAAAAACATGGGCGACTAATCGGTAAGACGAGAATTTCTCTTGTGCACTTTCGCTCATGAAAATCCTATCGCCGGTCCGGTTAATGGAGAAGACACAGTCTAGCGAGAAGCGCGAGAGACGTGCGTGGAGCGCGGGACGAGGGGGAGAGAGAAAACATTGTGCAGGGGAAAAATAGTTAAAGCAGGCAGCAGGTGAATTCATCTTGTGTGGTTGCGTTCTTATTTCACGTGATGAATGTGTTTCAGATAAGCCATTGATAGGAGAAATTTGATGCTGATCAATCTTAGGGCTGTTAAAGGCTTTACCGGATTAACAAATCAAACAGTCAAAATCCTTTCACTTAGCATGACTTCATGCTCACCCGATTGTTGCCGCCTTCTTTCGCGAGGAAGAGCAAGGAAGAAATACGATGTTGAAAAAGGAATGTCTTATGAAAACAAGATGGATCAGTTTAGATCCCTGGGAAACTGCTCACCTACCCCTCCCCTAAGCCAACATTGGGTAGGTGGATAGTTGCCCCCAAACCTAAATTTATCCTACATTAACCCAGTGGATACTTTGGAGATTTTGCAGTTTGACAGGTGCTCCAACGCAGAAAACTCAGCAATGACTAGGTTGAGCAAACTGACTGTTCCCTCTCACTTAAACATTTCTTTGTTTCTTGAAATTTCTGTTCTACAAATCTTCTTGAAAGGACAAGTCTATTCAATTTTTTATCTAGGATGATAATGAATTTGAGAGAGGCATGAGCTACTGTTCTTACAATAAACAGTTATTAGATTCGACTTTTGTGATATCTGAACTAAACAAGGTCAAGGTAAGTGTTGTCAGCCCAGCCGAAGGCCGAGGCGAATAACTGTTACTGAGACCTTTTAAATAATTAAAATTATTTAGGATATCACAAAAACCGAATATCTAATATTTGTTTATTATACATTGTTCTGGAGAAAACAACGACAAACGCACCGTCGTAAGGAAACTGAATAGGCCATTTCCGAGTTCCAAAAAATCTCACTTTCAAAGCGAGGATAAGTGTGAAGCCATTGATATGAAAATGATTTTTAATTGTTAAGCAAATAAAACCCATTTTCACAACAAATGTTTCGCACTTAGCCTCGTTTTGAAAGTGAGATTTTTTGGAACTCGGAAATGACCTATTGATATAATTGTTATTGGTAATCATGCACTGCGGCTTGCGCAACCTATAGATTAGTCACTTACTAGCAGAGAACTAACTAATCTGTAAGTTGCGCTGATTTCCAAAATTAGCTATAGGCTCTTAGCCAATGAGAAGACTGATAATGAGTACAATGTAGAATAATGAGAAATAAGGCTCCCGACTTCCTTAACACGTGTATGTCTGATATGGTATGTACAACTCAAAATCTTTAAAACTGGCCAAAACGGCCTCGAAATGGCTCTAGAAGCAAACAGAAAGGACACAACACAAACTCGAGGTTTAGTCATTTTTATCCCCAAGATTTTTAGTACCTATTTTTGTTTATTCCCAGAAATTCTCTTATAATATTCTAGTATAATTATTAGCATATACGAGCACTAGAAGCATATTATGCTACTTTTGAGAGCACAGTTTATTAAAGCCTACAGTATATAGCTCAAACTTGATCTTGTTCAGAAGAGATTGAACTCTGCCTTTTAATTGATGAAGTTCCTCTTCTATCAGAATTTCTGTTCTTTAGTATATCTTGAAGGGATTTGAATCTTCTTCCATTAAACATTAACTTTCTGTGACCACAAGAGACTTAGAAATAGATAGGCTGAAAGGGAAAGAGCAAATAAGAATCTGTTTAGTCAAGAGTGGATAAAGAGGACAGAGAAGGCATCCCTCATACACACCCTATTCCATAAGTAATTCGTCTCGAGTTATTTTTAAGACCACAGATCCCAAGGGGGATTAGACAACAGCCACTCACATAGCGCGAATGTGTTCCGCGTGGATGACCCACACTCAGAGCCACGCGTCCTTCACGAATCGACGCAGGACAAAATGGCGGAAGACGCGGAGAGCGATATTGCTATTCGTTTTGTTGACGAAAACGAAAACAAAGAGATTTCTGCTAAAGCTGTGTCGGCGAAACGGAAATTAAAAAAGAATCGCCCTTCCTCTCTTGTATAGAGCTAACAGTACAGTAGAGAAATCCTTAACACACTGAATATTCTCTGAGGATCATTATAATTTACAGTTTGAAGAGAGCAATTTCTGGTTTTATATTTATTCTTGTATTAGTCTTTCATTATTCAACAAAAATAACACTTGGTGTCCTACTTGCTTTATTATACAAACGACCGGTTTAAATAGACCGGTGAAATTTCTCATTTTATTAAAGCACTGAGGTTACGACAACTTCGAGTTAAACTGATTTCACGGGTTGTCAAAGAGTCTAGCGATTCCCTTTTCCCAGGTGAGCGCCGACTCATTTCGCGTAAATATTAGGAATGCTCTCGATCTCTTTACGCTTTCATTGCCTTTCGCCCGACATGTTTTGCACGGCGTTTAGTCATGCGTAACCTCCACGAAACATCCACGCTTTGCGCGAGATAACTTCATCCCGATTCTAAGAATAACTCGAGGAGAATTACCTTGGGACTAGGGTGTGTATGGGGTATGCCTTCTCTGTCCCCTTTATCCTCTCTTGGTTTAGTGCATAACTAGACCTTCAGATTCGAAAATTGTTCGGCATAACTTGGAAGAAAATTTCTATCATAGAAGTATAGGGTCCTTTCCATAATGACAGACAGGCTGGCCAGTTAGAGAGCAGTGGAAAAACCAAGGGAAAATGGAACGCCAATGTTAAAGACAGTTACTGACTGAAGAGAAAACAACGAAATTAAGGTCAAAACCTTTACGAATGACATTCCGTTATTTGTTGTCGAGTTCGCTTCTTTAATCACATGCCTGACGTGAGCGCGAGGGCACTAGCGAGGAGAATGAAGACGCTTCCAACCTTTTTTCTAGAACGAGGTGAAAATCAGCAAAGGCAGAAGCCGATTATAGTAATCGTCCCCGACGAAGGGAACACAACGAAAACGCGCGGAAAAGACTGGAGGTGACTTCTAATGCTCAATTTGCCGTTTTTACAGATTCTTTTTTAGATCTGCACATCAGGATCGTAATCACCACATTGCTGTCTTTAAAAGGCGCAAAAGTTTCACATAACTAACCAATAAAAGGAATAAAACGTCTAGGTGTTTTTAATTTGGAATGCAACATTGAATCCAATACAATAAAGAGTAGTCTGGGGCAGACACTCAACCAAACGCGCCACGACTTCCTGCTAACCCGGGCTTTTCATTTAGATGTGGAAAAACTATGCATAGCTATAGTGCAAACGAATTCGTGAAAGGAAAGAAGAGTTTTAGTTTGTATCACATGTAAATGACCAATATTTCAGTTAGCGAAAGGGCAAGCAAACAGAAACACTCATAATAAGGTACAAAGATTGTCATAAGGGTCGCTGAGCAACGCGCATGTCACAAACCTAAAGAGACAGGGCGACGTAAAGAGGTAGACGCAAAGCTGTTTGCTTGCAATTTAATAACCGATCAGTTACACACAATTTTAAAACAGTTTTAAATGGATAATGGGTGATATCATAGTTTACTCCCCTCTTCAGTACAACTGAGAGAAAAAATCAAATATGAATTCCCGTGTACTACCCCCTCAGAAATTAATCGTTCCTCGGGAATTTTCCCTCCAGCTAGGTTTCAATTTGTTTCCTGTACTGTGGGTGCATATTTTTTGTAGTATACTCGTATACTACAAAACTGGTAGCATACGAGCCTTTCCGTAGCCTTTCTCTCCGTAGAAAATGTCATGTGTTTAAGGCAGCACAAGCATTTTAAGCATTTCCACTTTTACAAAATATTACGTTTGGGGAAGGTGTAAGCGTGCTTGAGCGAAGACTCCAGACGGTTCAATGGTCAGTCGTCCGGTAAGTTTCAAAGTCTTTATCTTTATCTTTATCGCCCCTATATATGAGACGTTTTTAAAAGCTCTTATTTGTTGTTCTTTCATGAGGTGTGCAGATTTCAAGAACGGCCTTAAAATTTGCGTTTAATTTTGCGACCGCGGTCAGATTTGTGTACTAATATGACAGTCGACGAGCGTTATAATTTGAAAAGCCGAAATTTACATGTAAGAGTTCATACGATCGACGCTCAAGTTGGGTAATGTACCTGGGGGAAAGCCGTCAAATTACGATCGGGCAGGTGTCTATTTACCTTTATATGAACGAATCAAGCTTTATTAGCCCTCTCTACCTGGAGGTATGTGAAATTGTTATTGATATCGCAAAGGATATGCATAATCCTTGTCAAAGGAAACTTTACGCTCGACCAATCATTTAAATTGAAATGACGAAACTTTTGGGTTACGCACTAAACATAACGGTAAGTCTTTGGCGACCGAAAGAGTGGGGAAGTGGAAGGGATGCGTGAATAGTCGGTATTCCATTGCTTCTATTTAATATGGTGCCGTGATATCTATGAACAAAACAAGTTTAGGCGGGTAAACAGAGTCATGTCGGACGTGTTGTGTCTTTGGAGTTACGAAACGAGAACGCTTATAGATGTTCTTCTTAGTTCATGTCAGGAAAACGAACTAAACTCACCTAAAGGGAAATCTTAGGCATCAAATTTCACTTCCTTGTTCTTTGTGTGTTATTGATATTGACAATATTACGCTTGTTTCAGACGTCGTGCTACTGCCGTGCTAAGCTGGCTCGACTGTAGCACAACACTAGCACGACTTGGTTTTAGACGTCGAATTTAATTCAGTCGAATAGAAAGGTTGTTGCCGAAACCAAAACACAAAAATAAAGAAACGATTTAGGAAACTTTTAAATGTATTCTAATGTATGCATAATTTATGAATTGAGTTCAGCACGGTAGCAGCACGACTTGGTTTTAAACGCCGCTCTACTGCCGTGCTAAAGTCGAACTTAATTCGTCGATCGTTTAGTTCGGCACGGCGCGCAGTAGCACGACGTTTGAAACGGGCCTTACATGTACAAAACCAGGGCCGTACACAAAGGAGCTTCATGTAATTTTAGGGAGGTGAAAAAAGTTAAAGAATATAGCGTGATATTATATGATTTCTCTTATGTTATAAGAATGGTCTAAAGGCTTATAATTTGACTGATGACGGAACAGTTTTATATTTCTTGTGAATTTAGACACAATGGTAGAACAACTCTTTGAATTACAAGTGATTGGACTCGACAATTTCTGTCGTGTTTACGTCATGGTTGGTGCAGCCTTGAGACAAACGTCGTGCTTGAATTGCGCCTATTGTGTTCGTAAATCTCTTACATAATAAGCCCCTTGCAAACGGATGCAACATTGTTGGTTGTCATATGTTGCGTCCTTTTGCACACTCTGTTGCATGTTATTGCGTGTTGTTGGGAGTTGTTGCGCAAAGTTTGACACCAGTAAAACTTTTGAGCTAACAACTCTCAAAATTTCTTTTGTTGTGTGATCGCCGAAGCGTAGCCCAACAATGTTGGATCCGTAAAGCATAGCTGTTCCAACATGGTTGGGGCCACACACGCGCATTGAGGTCTTATGGTCTGTATCCTTCTCACGCCGATGCACTGCAGATCCTAACATTGTTGGGAGGTGTTGCATCCGTTTGCACACCACTGCCAACACGAACGCAACAACTCACAACTTTGTTGGCCCAACAATGTTGGGAGTTGTTTCGTTCTTTTGCAGGTAGCTTAACCTTTCTCAATGTGAATCTGTGCGCGAACAAAGGGTGCCTATTTGAGTCCGTAATTTGGTCAAACTTGTGTCAAGAGAGGAGTCAATGAGGCTAAATCTATACACGTTTTCAAGAATCAAAATTTTAGGCCTTCAATATGTAACTACAGAGAGCTGTAAGAATCTCAATGTGTCTAATAATAATAATAATTCCGTTATTTACCCTCGGCAGTATTTATAGTACTTATGCTGTGACGATAGGTTTTGCCCTTCCAAGCGCAAATCGGGGAAAACAGTGTTGAGGGAATTTTGCCGGCGTATCAAAAAACAAGGGGGAGGAAACTAACTCAGTCTTCTGTAACTCGCTTGGCTAGCAAGACTGGAATTCGTCACTGTTCCATAGTACTACGGATCTGCTACAACTGAGAACAAGACAGCACTCAAACTTGGACTTAAACAGTTTAATCTTCAGCCATAGGCGTACGGGCCGAGGGGGCGAGGGGGGCTGCAGCCCCCCCAAAGTTTGGGCAACTCAGATTTTTTGGGCAGCAAGAGAAAACTTGGGCAAAGCCAGTTTTTAAAAACGTTTCCATGTTTTTTATTATTATTATATTTTGAAGACATAAATATTTTCTATTTTAACCAGAAGTCGGCGTAATAATTCAGTTACGTTCACACGAGACAGTGGTTGCCTAGCACGTGATGGGTTTCTGGTTATAAGGGAAGGGTATCATATGCTGATTTTTTTGTTGTTGTTGTTAGGCACTGTACTTCACTGTACTAGCTAGAGTGGGCTATTTCCAGTCATGAATTGATTAGAATAAACTTCCGCATAACTTTCTAGAATCACCTCCGCTCCTAGAATAGTGTGTGGCAGAACACGCTTCAGCAATGGGTCTGAAAGTGAAGTGGCTGACTAATTCTCAGTTTGAATTACGAGAAGAATCATAAATTTCTTAACAAAATCTATCAAGGGTTTAAAAATTATTCACTAATTTGTTTAAGTAGACCGAAATGTTTACGAAACCCCTAACAAGATCGAGCGCCAATCAAATCCTTCCTTAGTAGCAATTGGCAGGAGCTATCTCCATGATCTTTCATACGCGTTTTTAATACGATTGAAACTCCGTTTTCTAAACATCAAGATTTTCCTTTTTTACTTTATTTCTAACAATAAAAACTTCATCCCAAAATATCTCGATAACACTCTTACAGTTCCGTTTTAACTTCACGTACATCGAGGCGACTATTGGAGGAAAGAGCTTCCCTGAACGATTTTGTAAGAACAGTTCCCAGTGAGAAATATTGCTGCAAGTATAATAGGTAATGGCGTCATTTCGTTGCTATGACAGCTCCGATGTCAGTGCAATCCTGATCATGACAAATTTCCCTCTTTATCTAATACAACTGTGGTGGCAATTTTTTCCAAATGCTTGTTTGTGGCGAAGTAGTTTATGCTCAAACTTGGCAGGTATTGACTCTGAAAAACTGTATCGAGCCACTTTCATATGCCAGTACGGCCTATTTTGTTGCATGGCCCTAGTTTCCTTTCGACTGTTTTGTAAAAATTTGGGCAACTTGCAAGAATTTTTTGGGCAAATGGATTACCGCCCCCCCTGGCAAAAAATTGCCCGTACGCCTATGTCTTCAGCTCGTGGACGTAAATCATACAGGCACGTGAATCGGAAAAACAGGGATAACAGTGCTCCATTTATACATACCGATCAACTTATTACAACATCACAAAACAATGGAAAGGAGGCTGAATAAAATCAGCTGAAAACTGGAAAATAATTTGGATAAATTCAGCTTTAAATTTCATATGCTAAACTAAATGACTCAAAATTAAATGTCAGTCAAGCAAATGTATTTCGGAAACTTATAAAAGATTGAGCAGCCACTAAAGCTGTGGAAAAGAATTGGAGTTTCCTTTGCTCAGGATTCGAGTCCTTAAATTGTCAAAACTAAAAACGATTGGTATTTGAACAGGAGAAAGGTCCAGTTGTTCAGCCACTAAGCTGTATAATTATTTCTAGAAAATGCAATTTTCGAGGATACAGTCATCTAATATGTGTACAGAAATTACTAAACGTACACTGTTCCAATAATTATATGCAGAAATAAACATTCCTGGTTATAATATTTTTACAGGCTTAAATCAGAAAAACTTATTCTAAACGTTAAAGTCCTGTTTTTATAATTTTGAAGTTCACGTACCATTAAATATATTTAAAACCTAGTGAAATCCACATTTTCCCCCCTAACTATGCTAGTGGGGCCGGGCAAATGCCTGAAACAAATAATTCAAATCAAACATCACAGGTTAAGAATCCCAACTCTTCTAGCTAAATTTAAATTTGCGATTATCAGGACTGCAAATTAATTTGATATCTTAGGCTTCGTAATGTATCCTACTTAAGTACAGTAGAGTGATTTTACCTAACCCATGAAATAGGTAGTAGAATAATACGCACTATTATCACTGTATTATGTACTAATTCCATTGTCTTCTTCTGTTCACCAGTAGGTATTTTGTAGTAGATGTTAGTATCTATTACACGGGTCAAGTAAAATCACCCTGTGTAACTTGGTGTGTAGTAAGTTAGGTTTCCCCATTAATTTACAACTGTGTAAAGTAAGTAACTATCATTATTATTATATTTTATGTGAATACTAATTTTTTTAACACAGGAGCTGTGGCAAGGAGTTCAGTTCAAGCTACAGGCGAAATGAATTTCACACCATCCTGTAAAGAACACAATGGAGGACAATGAAACTGACAATGACTTTGAGAAGGACACTTTAAGAGGTGTATATAAACTGAATAAAACGATTTTAGTATAGTAGTTGACGTTATAACATAGGTTTCAGTAATAATCGTTATTTGGAGAACAAGTACAGAATTTTTAAGATTGTTTAGTGTCGTTCTTGGGAAGCCTGTGTAGCTAGCGGTTTGTTTGTGGTCGTAGCCTATTCCAGGCGTTCAGATAGTGGAGTGCTGTGCAAAGTAAGAGAGCGGGAGACAAATAAGGAGATGAGGATGCGGGAGAGAAACTCTCACCCCTTCCCCACCCCATCGCCATTTTTCCTGCGCACATCTCTTCGCCCCGTACCCCCCTGTAGAGCGCGCACTTTTTCCCCATTCCCCTCGCGGCTTCTCCGCTCGTTCAGAGGCACGCTCCCCACTGAAAACCGCCAGCCACTCAGGTTAGATTGACTACCATAACCTTGCCGCATAAAACGTCTCTTAATAGCCGGAAAGAATGAACAAGTTTGTCAGAAACTGTGAGTAAGGAAGGTACGAACAGTTACAGTTCGTTCCCGGTACGTGCTTCCTATCTCAGACAGTTGACCAGTCTTATTTTAAACCCAGTAACGAACCTTGGTCGCGGGGTAGAGTTATACTAAGCCTTAACTAAAATATGGAATGGCAAGTTTACTTTAACACTGACTATCCACCATCTGTTTGAAGTCTTATATCACTTGAACTCTCGATCATTTATACTTTTAATCACTCAATAAAAATAGTTCTAGGTTGTTGAATATGGCATCAGCCTACGCCCCCCCGTACGAACGCTGTACAGACTGTAAGGAAAGGGCAGGGGTCACTGTGCAAGTAAAGGGATCGACGAAGGAGTCAGGCATCTTGCGTTTGTCTAGGCGAAAATTTAACCAGTTCAGTTCTTTTCTCAATCAACAACAATGAAATTTTTTTATCAATTAAAGGGGTAAGTTTGTAAAGAAACTGTGGTGTTGCGTCGGTAGAGAAGTAAAACTTACGCAAAGACTTAGTTTTATCAACTGAGCTGATAATTAAAGCAAATCGGCAACGTAGAAAGATCAAGATAAACTGGAGTTCAGAAGACGCGCAACAGAAGAAGGCGATTCAGGAACTATAAACCCAAAATCTTAATTTGGGTTGTAAGTAAACTTCAAACAAAAAGCGGGCTTATTAACCAGGGTCTTCACTGGCTCTTCACCACATTTTGTATGTCAGACAACATTTTCAGTTTAAATTAATCTCTGGCCTCCGCTACTTCAGTTACTAGCAAAACTTTGTATGTATTTTTGTTTCAGTAATTGCGGAGACTAGCAAAAATGCTGGCAATGATGCATTTCATAAGGATGATTTTGTCAAAGCTATAAACTTGTACACAGAGGGAATTGAAGCGAAATGCAAGGATGAGGATCTGAATGCCAAATTGTATAACAACAGGGCATCAGCTCACTATCACTTGGGTAAATATCATATTCATGTTTACGCATTGTCAACATTGGACTAAATTCCGTATCCAACATTCCATTCTCTAATTTGCATCCCAGCCCTGATACACTTCTGGAATCTCTATGTAACTGTCTCTATTGCCCCATTGATGAATCAGGATAAAGTCTTAGGTGGGCGAACTTTTTAAAGCTTAAGAAAGTAACAGAGGGGGAAGGGGGGGGGGGGGGGGGGTGGGTTCTCCATAGACCTCGATAACATCGTCTCAAAGCAGATAGTGCCTGGTCTATTGATTTACGTGTTCATTAATAGTTCAATTCACGCGTGCATCTTCCCGTTCCGCCGATGTATACTGCGCTGCATTCGCAAGGAATGTTATAAAATACTCAATGTTGCTTCCTTGGGTTACTTAAAGATCCTTAGATCGCACAGAATGTTCAGTGTCCTGTCGAATATGAAGACAGCCCGGGTGTACGCATCGTTTAAATGCAAGACAGGCACTGGCCCTCAATTAAGAGACCCCTAGATAAAGCATAAATTTTAAGTGCTGATTTTTCTTCGAGCTGATAGGGCAATTCTTTCTAATCTACTTGAGGATTATTCTTTTTAATTCACGAATAATAAGAAAACATTCTTGACAGAGATGTGATGGCGAACGTTGAGCATGCTCAGTACCTTAGAAAGATGATTTGTCAATTAGCGACACAGGCAGCTCAGAGGGAAAAATCCGAGTACTCCCAATATTCCCTGTGTCACTGATGAAAATCATCTTTCTCATGTATTAAACAGGCTCCAAATTCACCATCACATCTGTATCATTGCGCATAAGTACATATCAACATTCTTGACCTAGCAGTATGCAGGTTATTTGTCACTTGAACCTTGTTCGGTATTGCCCTTACCTCCCACGAGCTTAGTGATAGAGCATCTGGACTAGCAGACAAAAGGCCATAGTTTCGACTCCTATTGGGCCGCCTGTGTGCTTCACTGATTGAAAAGTCATCTTTCTCAAAAAACTCTTTTTCAGAGAATTACCATGATTGTCTGAGTGACGTAAAAGCTGCGACAGCACTACAGCCATCTTATCTCAAGGCGATTATCAGAGGTAAAATGAATCCCAGTAGAAAACCTGAATTTTTTTCTCCATTTAATCATTTCGAATGAGTCGCCTTTTTTTCCCTAGGGGCGAAGACCTGTTTAAAGTTGAAGCAGCTCGAAGAAGCCATCGTCTGGTGTGATAAAGGAATAACCGTATCCTTTCTATGTTATCGTCTTCACAGACCTTGTTTTCCTCTTTTTTGACATCTTAGTGTGCGAGTACGAAAATAAAAACCGCAGGGGATTTATTAAGCCGCAACGCACTGGATAAATTACTCAAAAAGAAGGAAGGAAAAAGCGTGTGCGGACAGGCTATCTTTAATTAGAAGATCACATACAATTCCCTGACCGCACAGATTATTACCTCCTTTACTTTTACTAGGTCAATGTCTCTTTTTTTATGTTTTGGTAAATTAAGCTTGAATCGATAAAATTAGTTTAAATATTAAGTGAATTTTTGGTGTCGAGTTCTGACGTCTCACACAAAGAGAAGCGTACAAAACTGATTATCGAACCGTTTTATAATACAGCTCAACTGATGCTGCTGCTACTAAAACGTGTCATTCCTGCCACTGCGGTCAGCCTAGTTTAAGGTAAAAGCAGATTATTTTCTATCCCCTTAACTCTTGTAAGATTGACAAGGACAATAAGGATCTGTTGGAGATAAAGACTTGTTCTGTCATAGAACGCGAAAAGATTTTAACACAGGAAGGCGATAAAGCAGCAAAAGAGGAGAGCGATTCTCGAACAAACCATACATCTCTTGATTGTACAAGTAAGTGTTAAAACTCCAAACACAAAGCGTACCTATAACCAGCGTCTTTACTTCAAGTGGTTCTACAATTTATCAGCCGCATCAGATGTTTTGTTTTGTTCTCTGGCCTTGACTCATTAAAATACTGGCAGAACTCAAAACCACACTGTTTGTATTTCTATTTCAGCTATAGCAGAAACACACAAAAATGCCGGCAATGATGCATTTAGTAAAAGTGATTTTGTCAAGGCTGTCAACTTGTACACAGAGGGAATTGAAGTAAAATGCAAGGATGGGGATCTGAATGCCAAATTATACAACAACAGGGCATCAGCCCATTATCACTTGGGTAAAGTATCATTCATATATTATATTTACTCAACGCATTTTCAACACTGCATGTTGTTTCGTATCCAACATTCTATTGTCTATTCTGCATCTTTTCCCTTTTACGTAAAGACACTCCTGGAATCCCAATGCAACTGTCTCTATTGACCCTATTGATGTTATCAGGGTCGGTGAAGTCTTATGTCCTATTATCATCTCTTGGTTATGAGGACGATCTTGTTAAAGCCTAAGGGAGAAACAGTGGGGGAAGGGGGATGGGGTCTCTATAGAGAATTTTAACTTCATCTCCCAAAGAGCGTAGTGGCTGGTCTCATTTGCATGTTCATTAATAGCTCAAGTCTGGAGTCCCTGAAAAGCGTACGTCCGTTTTATGTGCCGTAATAGGTTCAATTTATGCACGCATCTTCCAGTTCCGCCAATTTATACTACGCTGCATTCGCAATAAGGAATCTTATAAAATACTGACAATCTTGCTTCCTTGGGTTACTTAAGGATCCTAAGATCGCACAAAGTGTTGTCATTTCGAATATGAAGACAGCCCGGTTGTACCCATCGTTTAATTACAAAATAGGTACTGCCCCTAAATTCAGTGACCAGTGGATAAAATATGAATTTTAAGCGCGCACTTTTTCGAGTTAATAGGGTGCAATTCTTTCTGATCTACTCTACTTGAGGATTATTCTTTTTGATTTAACTAAGGGACAAAAATTCTTGATAGAGATGTGATAGTGAATTGTGAGCCTTGTAAATATATTAGAAAGATGATTTTTTAATTAGTGAAAAACAGGCGGCTCGGAAGGAAGAATCCGAGTACTCCCAATACCTCCCGTGTCACGGATCGTAAAACCACCTTCCTCATATATTCAACAGACTTCAAATTCCCCATCACATCTCTATCATTGCGCATTAGCACGTATCAACATTCTAGTCCTAGCACTATGTGCCAGGGTAATTTGTCACTTGAACCTTGCCTTGGTTCTTACTACAATGAGGGACAAAAGTGTTGAGACACTTCCGTAAAATGGCCCCTTTTTGAATAGTGGACTTACCTATCCCCTTCCCCTGTCTACCTCCACCCCTCGCCCCCAAAATCAATGTTGTATTTTGGACCCTCAAGTCTTTCTTTTACTTCAGACAACATTGATTCGGGGGGTGAGGGGATTTATCGCGTTTAAAAGAAATGAAATAATAAAGGAAGTAAATGTGTGATAAAAGCACCCGTTCTAAACAAGTGTGTCAACTACTTTTGTCCCTGATTGTAGTCCCTTGTACCTTAATTAGGGGTAGAGCATCCGGACTAGCAGCTTGAAGGTCGTAGTTTCGACTCCTATTTGGCCACCTGTATGTGTCACTGATTAAAAAGTCATCTTTTTCCAAAAATTCTTTTTCAGAGAATTATAATGATTGTCTGAGTGACGTAGAAGCTGCGACAGCACTACAGCCATCTTATCTCAAGGCGATTATCAGAGGTGAAAAGGAATCTCAGTAGAACACCTGAATCTTAAAATTTCATCCATTAAATCATTTCAAATGAGTCGACGTTTTTTCACTAGGGGCGAACACCTGTTTAAAGTTGAAGAAGTTTGAAGAAGCCATCATCTGGTGCGACAAAGGATTAGACGTATCCTTTCTTTATCCTGTTCAGAGACATTCTATTTTCTCTTTTGAGATCTTGTGCGCGCGCGAAAATAGAAACTGTGGGGGATTTATTAAGACGCAACGCACTGTATAAATTACTCAAACCAAAAGAAAGGAAAAAAATTGTGTGGACAGGTTATCTTTTCTTCGAGGAGTAAATGCAATCGCTGACCGGACAAATTGTTACGTCGCAATCCTTTATTTTACTAGGTCAATATCTCTTAGTACAGTCGGTTTAAATATTAAGTGACTTGTTGGTGACGCGTCCTGACGTCTCACACAAAGAGTAGCCATTTATATACACGAACAAAACGGATTACCGATGAACAATTTCTCCAATTTCTGCTGCTGCTACTACCACTGCCGCCAGCCAAGATTATTATTATTTTCTACCCCCTTAACTCTTGTAAGATTGACAAGAACAACCAGGATCTGTTGGAGATAAAGACTTGTTCTTTCATAGAATGCGAACACATTTTAACACAGGAAGGTGTTAAACCAGCAAAAGAGGGGAGCAATCCACCAAAAAACCCAAGACCTCTTAAACGCACATGTAAGTAAAATCCAAACAGAAAGCGCACTTGTAATCATGGCCAGGCATCAAATGTTATGTTTTCTTCTCTGGCTGTCACTCATTCATACTGTCAGAACTCAAAACCACACTGTTTGTATCTTTATTTCAGCAATAGCAGAAACTCACAAAAATGCCGGCAATGATGCATTTCTTAAAGGTGATTTTGTCAAGGCTATTAACTTGTACACAGAGGGAATTGAAGTAAAATGCAAGGATGAGGATCTGAATGCCAAATTATACAACAACAGGGCATCAGCCCATTATCACTTGAGTAAAGTATCATTCATATTGTATTAACTCAACGCATTGTCAAAACTGCATTTTGTTTCGTATCCAACATTCTATTGTCTATTCTGCATCTTTGCCCTTTTACGTAAAGACACTCCTGGAATCCCAATTCAACTGTCTCTCTTGGCCCTATTGATGTTATCAGGGTGAAGTCTTATGTCCTATTATCATCTCTCGGTTGTGCGGACGACCTTGTTAAAGCCTGAGGGATCAGTGGGGGAAAGGGGATGGGGTCTCTATAGAGAATTTTAACTTCATCTCCCAAGGAGCGTAGTGCCTGGTCTTATTTGCTTGTTCATTATGTTATGAAGTAGTTGCTGTTAGTTCTGTTTTGGAGTTTTGGTATTTTTAAGGTTTTTCTATCCGAATGATTATTTTGTAGCACGTGCTAATTTCTTAATAAACAGTTCATAGTCCAACGAAATTCAATGTATAGGCCACACAGTTAGTTCCTGAGTTTTGAGAAGTGTAGTCTATCGAAAGGATTTGTTGAACTTATTGTAGTTCTTTGAAGTAAGCATGTTCGGGGATTATAGGTGACCTTGAGTTTTGCCTCCACTGAAGTTCCTGTTTTGTATGCTTGGTCCTGGGGAGCAGTTTTACTGCTAGCATTCAATTGGCTCTTTAGTACTTGTTAATTGCGACAGTGTAGACTATTCTATTGTTCACAAGTTCAGCGACAGGATATGCAATGGAAGGGTCTCGTGGTCAGCTAACCCAAACACGTCCACAATTTCGTTATTTAATTCGGTGTGTTAGCTTGTAGAATTAGTGAAGAGTAGTTGAGGTTTGTTACATATGAGCTGCTGTAAAGATTAAAGAACAACAAGATGTAAACTCAGATAACTGGTACCTCTACGCTCAGCGAGCAAGTTGCTCGTAAACCCCCTACAATTAATAGCTCAAGCCTGTAGTCCCTGAAAACCGTATGTCCGTTTTATGTGCCGTAATAGTTCAATTTATGCATGCATCTTCCGCCAATTTATACTTCGCTGCATTCGCAAAGAATGTTATAAAATAAACACAATCTTGCTTTCGTGGGTCACTAAACTTTTCTTATATCACATTAAGTGTTTCGTCGTGTCGGATTTCATAACACCTCGAGCGTACGCAAGGTTTACATAGAGTCTACAAAGTAGACGCTGCCCCTCTCAGTTTGTGCGGATTATTCATTTTAATGTGGGTGTAATAAAACTCTTTTTCAGGAAATTATTCAGATTGTCTAAGTGACGTAAAAGCTGCCACAGCACTAAAGCCGTCTTATCTCAAGGCGATTATCAGAGGTGAAAATGAATCTCAGTTGAAAACTTGAATTTTTCCTGAAACAATGATTTCAAACGAGTCTACTTTTTTTTTCACTAGGAGCGAACACCTGTCTAAAGTTGAAGCAGTTTGAAGAAGCCATCATCTGGTGTGATAAAGGAGTAGCCGTATCCTTTCGTTAGCCTGTTCACAGACCTTCTATTTTCTCTTTTCAGATCTTCTAGTGTGCGTACAAAAAATAACCCCCGCGTGGGATTTATTAATTCGTAACTGACTCGTCCCCAGTCGTCTCTCATTATTAGTATTCGGCGTGGAAGACTTGAACGGGCTGTTTAACAAGCATAACCCAAGCATAACCCAAGCGCTTCCCTAGTAAATAACTAATGAGTAGACACAATTTAGAGACGACTGTGGACGAGTCAGAATTCGTAATGCCCTGGACAAATAACTAGTTCGCTAACGTACGTGTGGACAGGTTATCCTTTCTTAGAAGTGTAAATAAAAAAGCCCTGACCGCGTTATTAAGAGGCGGTCCGTGTAAGAACCGACCACTCGAATTTCCACGGAAAACAGAATTCCTTCATTTTTTTTCTGCAACATAATTAGCCCATTCCATTAACAAATATCGAATTTGTTTGGCTCATAGTGCTTTTTAAAAAAAATTTGGGCGGCGATTTGCCTGGACGGTCCAAAGCTGTCATGATCGTCTTTTTGAAGGTCAAATTTAAGCGTGTTGTTCAAAGCTCGCAAAAATTTCGCATTTATCCAAATAGCATAAAACAAAAGTGTGATTTTAATTCATGCTTCCTTTATTCAAAAAAGGCAAAATATTTAAATTCTGACTTTAAAAAAACGAGTTATGATGTTTTGAAAATATCACGTAAAGCGTCCTTGAAAAAAATGCGCGGTTATCCTAGTTTTAAAATAAGCTTTTTTCAAAAGTCTGACGTTATCTGGAGTCTTGGTCACCCTCCCTGTTCAGTAATAGGGCTAGTGTATCGAAATCAAGAAAAACATTTTTGGGCACTGTTGATTCCGAAGCACAAGAGTTCGATAAAGTTGGGTAATATTTTACTGTAATTGTGCGTATGACGTAATTTACGCATTTTGGTGATTCCGAACTTTCCCACTGAAAATCAAACCGAGAGAGCAAATGTATTTAAAAGTGGCCTTTATTGTTCGAGATAAACTGTGAACAGCTAACAACTTACCAAATGCTACACGAAACTAGGAATTGCGAAGTTTAATAGTCGAAATTATCGATTCCGGGGTAAGTTGTCAGTCGTCTAAGTTTACTTCTAAAAGCCGTTTACAAAATTTCATTCAATTAAATTGGTCGTAGGTTTTCCTGATCAACAAAAAAAGAAAAAGCTTTTCATTCAGGTTAAGCATATAATTACTTGACGAAAGTGAGTCCTGTTTAAAAGAATTACACATTTTATTAAAAACACCCAGTACATTACAGCCGAAATTCAAATCATCTGAACAGTGTTAATTTCCCGTCACGCTGGCTACGCGTGAATGTCAGTCTTTAGCTTGTCACGCGTATGTACCTTTTTTAGTACGGTTGACAAAAAACATGTTCTTTTCTAATTCGACTTTTCAAAAAGTATAAAGGTCTTAAAACGTCTTTTCAAGTTTTCGAAAAATAACTGCCTCCACGATCTTTTTGAACTCGAGGTCGAAAAACCCTGTTGGTTACTATATTAAATAGCGGTTTGTGCCTTAATGCGGCTGGTTACAGTCACAGCCTTCAAGAAATTCGGATAGGTTCGCTACAAGAATTTTTTTCTATCGCGAGAACTAAAAGGAATTTCAAAGTATTTCAACATGTCCTTGAGCATAGCAACGCTAAATCTTTCAAGTTTCTTCTCGTGTGAAAGGTCACATAAACAATATGAATCATAGCAGATCGGATGCTTAGGACCAAGGTGGGTGGCTACCTCTTCCAGGGTGGCTCGTCTTTCCTGCTCTTCCTGTTCCGCCTCTACGTCTTCATTGAGCGCTTCCCGATGTGCTTTGCTTCTTCGCGAGGCCGCTAGCCTCGAAAAAAATCCCTGTACTTGACCCTTTGTGAGCCAATGTTTCCTCTCAAACATCCGAGAACTGTCTGGGTTTCTTGCAGTTCGCACATCTGCTGCCACTTTTGCGGGATCTGACTTGATGCCAGTTCTTTCTCCAAGATCAAATTTCGTTGTTAGGTTCTGTTTAACCTCGGTAGGAAAACGCACAGCTTCGTTTCGGGGCTTGTGTAGAACCCATCCAGTCTGCAAGTCACTGCACTCGGGAAAGCGGCCAGTTTTATTCTTTTCGTGATGCTCCTCTACAACTGCTTCAGGCACGCTTCTGATTTCTTCGTCCTTATCAACAGTACGAAATTTCTCCGCCCAGTCTCTTCTGAGCTTGTCGTACACCGTATCAGAGTTTCCGCGAACTTGGCTGTGCTCACCAACATCAAGGTGATTTTCGAGTTCACTGAATTTCTTGAAAACCATGTTGCACCCGGGCTCAGAACAAGAGAAAAGACCGTTGCATTGTTCATTTTCACTGTTTGTCTCTCTCTTATACACTCGAGCTTCTTTGAGAGGAAAGAAGTTTTCATGCACAATGAGACCAGTAGGACCTTGAGGTTCAGTTATGACCTCTCGGTAAGGAATAAACTTGCCTAGTCCAACACCATAAGCTTTCCATGCTCTAATTCCTTTCACTTCAAACTTGAAATTGTGATACTTGCTGAAACCTTCTATCTTATGTAGTTCGAGTGTCTTTTGAGTCTCATTCATTGCGCACACGGAGGCAGTTGTACCTTGAACAGGACGTTCTGAAAGCGCTACACGCATGTCTTTCGCAGAAACGACATCGTGTCCTTCATTGCAATATCGTCGGATGGATGATTTCATTGGACAAAGGATTCTATCACAGATATCTTTTCCATACTGCGGCTCGGAAAAGTCATACAGTGCTACTTCAATGCCTACTCGTCTTCCGGCATCTCTAACGGCGGCTAAGAGAAAGTTGTTGTGGTAACAGCCTGCTTCGTCACTCCTTAGGTTCACTTGGGTAATCTGGGGATGTTCTTTCTTTACAACCTCAAGTGTGTTTTCGATGATCGAGCATACTGCGTACCAGTCTTGCTGGCAAGAGTCGAAGATATGAGCATACGATTGCAGCTCAATTTTTCCAGAGTCAACATTCTTAGTTATAAAGGTGGAAATATGCCAGCTGAGCCCCCGTTTGCCGAACCATTCAGACTGTTTCTCACGAAATTTTATTTGGAGGAACTTCATGGCCCAGTCCATGATCAGAATGGCTGACTGTGGGTCTTCTGATTTCAGTGCATCTTGTTTCGCCTCCTCCTGATTTATTGAGCGTACAATGTGCGCTTTCCACAGCAAGATGTCTGACTGTGCACGGTCAAAGTCGTAAAGGACATCTTCTCGTTGTTCGCAACTGTAAGGCTTCCATGACGACCCTTCAATCGCTAGTCTCACTTCCTTTAGAACATCCTTCAGCCCTTGGCATTGCTCGCAAGTCGATTGATGCTGATGCGGACAAGGATGCTGGAGCTCGGGATCAACAGGATCACTAAGCGCAAACTTTCTACAGTGGTCAGCACAAGTAGAGTAATGCTGTTGACAGTGTACACGGTAGTCAGTTTTGAGATAGCGTTTAGCATCGCGTAGGTTTTGGCAAATACGTAAACACCACTGTTTGTCCATTCCTCCCTTCTCAAGAGTTTCAACCAGCGTCTCAATAGTCTGAAAGCCCGCAGCACCATCTGCAGCCGTATTGTCCAATCCCTGGAGCGATTTACGCTGAGACGCTTCTCGAACCTCCAATATTTTAAACAGAGAAGACCTACTAAGTGGCTCGTGACATTGCTCTTTGCAATACTCCAAGTATTGCTCAATCATTGTAGACCTGGTCAGGATCCTTACAACGTTAGGCATCTCAATTCTGTCACCATTATCTAGGGTGAGTACCTTGTTACCATATGAAACATCCTGATAAAAGTACGGTCTATTAATGAACTCTACAAAGTGGTCGACCTTCCCCATATCAAGGCGTACGCGATGCTTCGTCTTGATTTCAGGGATGGTCCCAGGACCGTGCATTTTAGCATGAGAACGTGCTTGCTTTATTTCCCATGTAGAGAGACTTCCGTAAGGTTGGTGAATTTTCTTCAGTTTGGTCATAGAGCGTAAAGGCTCAGAATCTGTTTCTTTAAATTCCTGGTCTTTGCGTTCTTATAAGCAGTCATGAGTACCACAAGATCATCGGGGACTGCGCCATCAAATAATTCTCTTTGTACAGACATCATTGACTCGAAGAGCTCCTCTCCGTTACCTGGGGCAATTACATTACATACGTGCAAGCAGTCCTCTTTAGCCTTTTTTACAAATTTCAGCTGTTCCCCATCGCTTAAGTTTTGGTATGGAGTTTTAAGCTGATATTTAAGAGGTTCGCGTTCTACTTGTTCTTGTGTAGTAAGACTCGCAATTGTATCCATCGCCTCGTTATACCTGCCGACTGCATCGGTTACCACGGGTGAAGTTAAAGAGGCCTCCTCTGACCCTGGAGTCCAGCATGGTGTTATCGGATTCCAGGAAGCTGGCGTTGATTGGTCTTCAAGAAATGGAGTGGAAGTGACCATGCGACCGATGGCTCCCACAGCAGCCTCTTTAGCAGGTCTGCGGAGAATAAAAATGGAAAGGTTGCTACTTAGTTGCCTTGCGATAGGATAACCTGACAGGACAACCGTGTGTGTGTTTTTATAAAACAACAACCAAACGACTACCCTCCCGACAGTACCTTTGAAGGAGCACATCTCCCTCAGTTTCCTCAGGGTATAGCCAGTCTGATTTCCGATCTACTTCTTCACTGTGTTTCTTTCTGCACGTTGTGCAAATAGCTATAGTAACAAAAAGAAACAAAAAAAGTTTTCCAACCTGGAAAGACTTGTTAAAAAAATACTGAATTTACTACTAAGTTGATAATAGAAGCTATATGTTTATATCCCATCTTGGAAATTATGTTATATAGGCTATAAATTAGCGACCGAATTTATGGATGATGCACAGCAAAGAACTATTGCTGTAATGAACTACAAAAACCAAATTATGATCATTTGATATGTTATTTTTTTGGAAATGATTTTCTGGCTCCAAAATACTATCAAATACGGGATCGATCGTTTATCGTTCAGAAAATATATAGAATGGGACTTCCCCTCAGTCTACAGCTCGCTTTTAAGTAATTACGAACGAAAGTATTTAGTTGAAATGTTAAGGAAGACAAAACCCTTTAATTCTGATATGTTAATTATAAAATGAATGCATAAAACAGTTATAGTTGCTAGTCTGATAGTACTTACGCGAGCCAACGGGAACTGCTTCTTCAAAGATATTTTTTATTTCCCTTGCAGTCTTGAAATTAATAACATGTGTTCCGGCTATTGCCATTTTCTTCCCGTGATGTTTTGGATACTTGCAGGTCTTTGGAGCTTGCCAGTATTTTGCCAAAGTGTAACGATGGACTGGACAAACCGTCATATTCTTGATCTGATCATCAGTGAGTTCTAACAGACCTACCCTTGCCAGTATCAGATCCATTTCACAAACATTTTCCCTTGACAGGTGGTGATTCATTAGGTGTGAACTAATGTCAGCGTTGCAACTATTCAAGCACACAAAATCGACACATCCTCGATTACTTCCGCATTTTCCGCCTGTTAATGCGGAAAAAGAACAAAATGCAGCCATTCTATCTGCGAAGGTTATCTCGGCACACTGTAAATACGCTCTACGTTTTGTGTTGCAAATTTGCATACGATATTAAATTAAGTGAACGACGCCAGAAAAATTAACTTAAATTGAATTAAAAACTTGAAGAAATTTTTAGTAAACCAGCAAAACATTTTTATTCTTAAAAGTAGCCAGTTTTTTTGTACCTTGTTTATTGTACCTCGTTAAGCCTGATAAGTAGTTTCAGCTTCGATAAAATAACATCCAACATGTTTTGCACTGCAAACTGAAATCTGAAATTGACATCCTCAGACACAATATAAATGATGTCGTCTGCACGCAACAACTTGTGGCTAGAAAATTTGGTACATTTTGGTAAACTATTTCTTTGCTGGATCGTGTCATAACTTTTGGGGTGGTAATGACACGGTAAATCTATTAACAATGTGTTTTAAATTTTTTTACCGTTCTAGCTCCTTTATTTCAACGAAATTTCTTAACTGTTTAGCCACCACTTGACATAGGAACATTCACCGGAGCTGCTACGTTTTTTTGGAACATCCCAATTTTAATTTAGGACAATATGTAGTGGATTTTAAGATATTCACTGTTTGTCCCCAGCATTAAGTTAGTTTTGAAAATAGTTGCTCCCTGACAGTAATGATTTTTAGTTTTATAGCAGGAAAGTTCGGAATCAAGAAAATGCGTAAATTACGTCATACGCACAATTACAGTAGATTGTTACCCAACTTTATCGAACTCTTGTGCTTCGGAATCAACAGTGCCCAAAAATGTTTTTCTTGATTTCGATACACGAGCCCTATTACTGAACAGGGATAGTGACCAAGACTCCAGATAACGTCAGACTTTTAAAAAGAGCTCATTTCAAAACTAGGATAACCGCGCATTTTTTTCAAGGACGCTTTACGTGGTATTTTCAAAACATCATAATTCCTTTTTTGGGGGGTCAGAATTTAAATATTTTACCTTGTTTGAATAAAGGAAGCATGAATCAAAATCATACTTATGTTTTATGCTATTTGGATAAATGCGAAATTTTTGCGAGCCTTGAACAAAACGCTTAAATTTGACCTTAAAAAAGACGATCATGACAGCTTTGGACCGTCCAGGCGAATCGCCGCCCAATTTTTTTTTAAAAAAGCACTATGAGCCAAACAAATTCGATATTTGTTAATGGAATGGGCTAATTATGTCGCAGAAAAAAAATGAAGGAATTCTGTTTCCCACGGAAATTCGAGTGGTCGGTTCTTACACGGACCGCCTCTTAATACTTCAATTTTTACTACGTCAACGTGTTTTTACTACTTTTCATCTTCGATATCAGTATCCTTTCTTGGATCTGCTGTCAAAGTCTTTAACGGTTCTTTTTTCCTAGGAGGCCCTATGTGGGCCTCTCGGATAACATGATCTAGATCTTGATAACTGAAGACGGATAACTTCTGCCCGAGGTGTTTATAACTCAGACAACTCAAGGCTAAGTAAGAAAATCAGTCTTGCGGGGAAAATTCGTTCCAGAAAAAAATTCAGAGTTAACAGTTTCAGCAAAAAATTAGCCTGGGACCAGGCTCCGAAGTGGGGCAAAAGGCAAAACACGGGCTGAAATGGGAAAAATATACATCGGCTAGCGAAGGGAGTCGATGGATGGGCTGGGGAGGGGGGACGGGCGGCGCCACAGCCACCCTTTCCCTACCTATACTAGCGCTGGGCTCGCTTCGCTCGCCGGTTTTTTTCTCCTTTTCCCCCAATGCGGAGCCTGGTCCCAGGTTACAAGAGATGGAAAAGCATAACAATAAAGAAACCGAGAAAAAAAATGCCGTATAAACAGTGTATAGAAGCAATACGGCATTGTTTGCATAGAGCTATATGATCGCCCGTTTTGCATTTATTTAGTACCATGCTCGTTGCTCACTTCGACTCAGATGTTTTGTGTGAATGATGAAACTTAGTCTGCGCTCATAATTAGGGCCCGTTTAAAGGATAATATTGTACAAAATCCCACTTCTCACAAATTCACGAACAACAAAAAAAATTTGAAATGAAGACCCCTCAACGATTCCTCCCGGTTGGCGAATCGGCTCCCGGAACCAATCAGATTTCAAGGATTTGGGAATTTTTCTCGCTTTTGCAAATAGCCATGTGGGGCTTGTTTTTTCACGTATATTCACTCAGCATTTTTAAGGGGTGATTCTCGTTACAAACCTTGTTTTTCGTCTATTTCAAAATATTTTCTTCTAAATCTGACCAAGATTGCATCCAATCAAAAAGTGGCTCCATAATTAAAAGATTGGCATTTTTGGATGATTTCTTGACCGTTTTCAACGAATAAAAGTGGGGGATGTAAAATTAGAAAATACTGGATGTAATATATCAAGCATGAGATGCAGTGTTTCATCACCAGATGAAACGCCGAGAAGAGAGTTAAAAATACGACGCGCAGAGGAGTATTTTTGACGAACCTCGAGGTGTTTCATCTGATGATGAAACCCTGTGTCCAATACCTGATATTGCTTCTCAAAAAAAATGATTTAAGAAAGAGAACTCAAGGATGCAAAAATGAGCAGTTTTTCATCTGATTTCCAAACACTCGTTAAACATCAATTTCCTTTGTATTTTCGTTATGAATTATTAATGAGTTTGAGAAGTGAGGATTGAAGATATGAAGGAAATAATGAACAGGCAAATACAAGATTATTCAAGTTATTCTATCCACCACCACCACAAGGTTCCCCTGAGCTCATTAGTGGATCACCTGGTGTATGTTTATATCTTTCATTCCCAAATCAACCCCATTCCCACCAAAAAAAAGAAACAGCTGGAATCCATATCCATATCGTTTACCAAGTCCATTGTAGGATACTTTCTAAAACCTGTTTATCGAACTTGACAGTCGTAAGATTTACAATAGTAACAAGGAGCTCTTCAAAATAAGGAGGATAAGCCAAAGAGATACTCCAAAGTCAGAAGCTAACACTGTGAAAAAAACGGTTAGTGGTCGATTTTCTTATATATTGGGCTTAGGGGTAACTGTCCAGCCAAAAAAATGTGTTAAAAACAAATAAATACGTTTTGAAGTAAGTATATACATGGTTCTGATAGGGAAGACATTCACATGAGACTTACTTCAAACCTACCCCGTTTGGATGGTTGGGCATACATTTTAGAGACGTACGTAAAAACCAGTAAACTGATACAATCAAATGTCTGAATAATATCTGATCATAGAGCAATTCAATTTTACAGGTGTTTACTCCATATCAATCATCAACGAATTTGCCCAAAGAAAACCAACCCGTTGAAATTAAAGATGATGAATTTGCACGCGTCATGAGCAATTTTGATGATGGGCCAAATCTTTCTGGGAATGTCAACGACATCGTTAACTTTTACTGCCAAAAACTCAGTAGTGCCAAACATGCGCGAGATAAAGCTAGTGAAGGAGCTGTGTATAGTATTACTGGTTTGTTTTTTCTGAGCCAATGTGATTACAAGAAAGCCATAGAATATAATGACCTTGCTCTTGATATTTTCAAAGAATTGGGCGACAAGAGACAGGAAGGATATGTGTATCAACTTCGTGGTGATGTTTTCCAAAAGCTCTGTGAATTCGAAAAAGCCATGGAGTACCAAAACCGTGCACTCAGTATAGCAAAAGATCTGGGAGAAAAACCTTTGGAAGGTTACGCTTACTACGGTCTTGGCAATGCTTTTCGAGGTTTGTGTAGTTATCATGAAGCAATAGGCTTCTACAAGCGTTCTCTTAGAGTCGCCAAAGGTCTGGCTGACAAGACAATCAGAGGGTCACTAGAAGGTATTGCCTGTAGCAATCTCGGACATGCTTTTGACTGCCTTGGTGACTACAAACAAGCTGAAATTTACCACAGGCGTCACCTTAGCATTGCTAAAGAGAGGAGAGACAAGTCTGGAGAGGGAGACGCGTACAGAGCTCTTGGCAACGTTTTTCAGGGCCTTGGGAATTTCAGAAAAGCCCAAGATTATTACAGCTTAAGCCTTAGCATTGCCAAAGATGTACGAAACAAAGAAGCAGTGGCACTGGCATATGCAGGTCTAGCAAACGCTTCCCGCAACCTTGGAGGTACAAAAAATGCAGTAAAATACTCTAATCTGCATCTTACCTGCGCCGAAGAATTAGGAAATAGGGGAGGGGGTGCGTATTGCAACCTTGGACATATTTATAAAAGCCTTGGAGACTTCAAGAAGTCCATAGAATACTTCAAACGCTACCTTGAAATTGCCAAAGATTCTGGAGACTCGGCAGGAGAAGGGGCCGCGTATGGTGGCCTTGGCAGTGCTTTTGACAGCCTCGGAGATTTCGAAAAGGCGCTTTACTTTCATAGCCAACATCTTGATATCGCCAAAAATATTGGAGATAAAGAAGGGGAGGCGATTGCAAATGGCAATCTCGGCAACGCTTATCTCAGTCTTGGTGATTTCAAGAAGGCCCTCTACCACTACTTACGCCGCCTTAGTATCGCAAAAGACCAGGGAGATAAAGCAGGGGAAGGACGTGCGTATGGCCATCTAGGCAGCACTTATCAACATATTGGCGATTACGACCAAGCCATGGTCTATTACGACCGGCGTCTCTGTATTGCCCAAGAGCTTGGAGACAAGGCTGGGGAAGGGGCTGCCTACGGCAATATAGGCACAGTTTCCCAAAATATTGGTAACTACATGAAAGCCATAGATTGTCACAAGCAACAGCTTAGAATTGGTAAAGAAATAGGAGACAAAGGAATGCTAGGCATAGCCCACAGTAATATTGGACAATGCTTTGAGATGCTGAAAAGTTTACCTGAAGCACTCGAAAATTACCAAACAAGCGTTAAAGTGTTTAATGAAATGCGAAGTCTCCTCCAGTCTGAAGATCAGTGGAAGATTGGATTTCGGAACGAATGTAACCATGCTTACACAGGTCTTTGGAGAGTTTTGTTAAAACAAGAAAAGATTGGTGAAGCTCTGGCTGCTGCCGAAGAAGGTCGGGCCCAGTCACTAGCTGATCTGATGACATTCCAGTATGGTTTAAAAGAATGTCAATACAAAGGAAAACCACTAGAAGAACAGGAATTTGGCATGTTGAACCACACTTTATCAAGTACCATATTCTTAGCTGTAAACGTGGTCGAAAACAAAGTAAATATCTGGGTAATTTCAAAAGAGAAACCCCTTCTTCACAGGGGGAAGACACTTGGTCGTCATTGTGCAAAGTTTGCATCTGAAACATTACACTCCTTAATTCAATATGCCTACAAAAACATTGGTGTTGGTGCTAATGGTAACTGCGAGGATCGGTCTTTAGATTTGTTACGCGAAAACTGCTCTGGTGTGGAGCGGTCATCCAAAAAGAGCTCACAGCCCATTCTCCAAGAAGATATTTATCCCTTGTCAGCCTTGTACAGCTATGTGATTGCACCGATATTAGATCTAATTGATGGCGATGAAATAATCATTGTCCCGGATGGTCCATTATGGCTTGCTCCGTTTGCTGCATTACTGAATCCTTTTTCCAAATACCTGTGTGAATCATTCAAAGTCCGAATAATTCCCTCTCTTTCAAGTCTAAAAATTCTTGCTCATTGTCCAGAATTTCACAGCAGTAGTGGAGCTGTAGTTGTAGGAGATCCAGACGTGAGTGACGTTATCAACAGTCAAGGAGAGCAGCTGCAACAGCTTCCTTTTGCCAGGAAAGAAGCACAGATGATCGGGCAAATTCTAAACGTTGCACCTCTCACTGGAAAATTGGCCACCAAATGTGAGGTACTTAAACAGATAAGTTCGGTTTCTGTAGTACACATTGCTGCACATGGGTGCATGAAGACCGGTGAAATAGCGTTGAGCCCGAATCCTGAGAGGAAGTCGCAGACCCCTGCAAAAGAAGATTACATGCTGACAATGGCAGATGTGATGAGTGTAAAGCTGCGAGCTAAGCTGGTTGTCCTTAGTTGCTGTCACAGTGGTCGAGGAGAGATCAAAGCTGAAGGCGTGGTCGGTATAGCACGTGCCTTTATGGGGGCTGGTGCTCGTTCTGTTCTGGTGTCGCTGTGGGCCATCGATGACGAGGCCTCCTTGGAGTTCATGAAAAGCTTCTACCGTAACCTTGAGAAAGGGCAAAGTGCGAGCGAGTCCCTTAACCACGCAATGAAATGTCTCAGAGAATCCGAGAAGTTCAGGGATGTAAAATACTGGGCGCCTTTTACACTTATCGGCGATGACGTCACTCTCGACAAAGAAGAAAAAATTAGGGTCTCATAAATAAATCAAGAAAAAGGAAAATAGATTATGGTAAGAAAAAAGTCTTGTCGATCCTCCCACAACTTCATCTGATTGCGAGCAACTTAAATGAGAACTAGATATCGCCTGCCTGAAGTTGCCCAAGTATTGCTCGTTTCGTTTTAGTAAAATAAGCGGTATCTCTCTCGTCCGCAAAGAAAAAGACACCGCTGAGTGGGAGACTAGCTGACAGTCTAAGCAACAATTTATTTTAATGATATACTGTTGCAAGGTCAATCTCGTGTAATGTGTTTTGTTTCATTTTTCGGACAAACGAAGTAGTGATATAACGAAGAGCCATGGGACTGGCAAAATTTCTTCGTTGTAACTTTGGGTTGGTTATATTGAAGTTCATTCCGTATATCTTACTATTACTAGCGTAAAGAAAATTATTGTTATGACCGAGGGCGTCGTTATACAAAGGTTCATTAAATCGATGTTTACTGCACCAAGACAGAATTGGTAATTGTCACCTAAAAATTGTAGAGGAAACTAATCACAAGGCTGAACGCTGTGGGGTTTTGTGCCACTAAAGAAAGCAGCGAGGACTTAAATGTTAGAGGAGCAGTGTCCCGACTGATATATCGTGTTTTCTCAGCACGCTAGTCTCAGCTGTAGTTTTAAGCAGTATCTGATTGTTATCGTACAGCAGTACTAAAAGATAAATATTCAAAAAAGAAACATTAATAAAAGTTCTTTGCAGTGGTACATCTAATTTGATCGCGGGTCTAATTCACTTTCTTCATTTCGGTAGTGCAGTGACGTTTTAAATTAACGGGTTCATACTTGACAATTTAACATAAGTTATTATTCATTCAAAATATTTTCCTGATTCTGATTGGCTAAAAGCACACGTTTAATTCACTATAACCAGTTACTGATGACCAAAGTTGGAAGAATTTTGTGTTTAACGAGGAAATGACGTCAAAAATGCAGCGTTTTCGCAGGTTAAGGCACCGTTAGCCGAGAAGACCTGTGAACTTGAAAAATGGCGGACATTTCACTCGTTTCAAGAGTAAGAACTAGGCGAAAAAATAGCTAAAAAATGGCAAGAACAGCAAGAAGACAACTTGAAGGGCGACATCTGCTATTTGGAGAATATTTGCGGAGCTGGACAAACCTAAACGTGCACTATCGAAGGTGAACTGAACATCGATGGATCGATAGAGGTAAGCATGTTTTCGCCCTGTTTTTAAACTAGGTATAATTTTGAATGAATAATTCCTCGCGAAGCGAGGTGCGGAGCGCCGAGCGAAGTGAGTTAATAATCTCGTCGCGAAGCTCGAAGCTCTCGAAGCTCTCGAAGCGCGCGCGCAGTGCGTGAACCGCGTGTGAGTCCTAGCGAGCTGCAAACTCGCAGCTCTTATCTTTACTTGTATATATCCGATGGTGTCCGCCATGACGTCATACAGTAGTTTGACGTCACGGAGCATTTTTGTTTCTAGGCAACATTCGACTGAAAGCGATTTCGAATTCCATCAATGCCCAAAGTATTCAGGAAGAGCTGTCTTTTCATCGTCTGCAAAACAATGTTTACTATCGGTGAATCTCAAGCTATTTCTCATGCAAACAGAACAGCAAACACAAGAACGCCAAATTGTCAATACTCGCAGGGGAAAATTTGACACCGAAAAATCCTCTGTAGCGAGAACGCCGACTTGAAATTCTTATTCAACGGCGCAAGCAACAAAGATGGAGACAGCATCAACAAACAGCGGAGCAGAGGGAACATCACTCAATGAATGTCGAATGCTAAAGTACTTTACGAGCAAATGGAAGCGATTTTGGATAATTAGGCTCAACATATCAGCGAAAATCGCGGTAACTAGCCTGCAGTGCAGGCGTATTTTGGGTGGGCGAAACCTTGTTCGTGTTCGTAATATTGTTGTAGCCGCCATCTTTGATTTTATGACAGTGGAAGATTGGGGAGAGTAGAAACAGTAACCCTTATGGTAGGTGCGAGGGCCCTCTCCGCCCCCTCCCCGCTCCCTTTGACTCGCCCTATCTCCTCCTCTCTTCGGGAAGTTTCAACATGGCGCTTTCGCGAGCAAATTGCGCGCTCAAAGAAAACGCCTGCACTGCAGGCTACGCGGTAACAAAACACCCTTTGCTCGCAAACGAGTTTATACCGTATCGGCCTAGACTGTTGGGCTTCCATTCTTTACATGTAAATGCGATGAAATGCTTCTACGTTGGGGCTTCACTGTCGAAACTGCAGTTATTCTTCTGAAAAATATCTTTAATAGGGCTCGAAGGCTCTAATAATAAAATTTCGACCGAATTTCCTGTGTGTTCCACGTGGCCTAGTGGTAAAGCTTTGACCCGGTGCGTCGAAGGTCTAGAGATCGATTCCGGGTCAAACTTTTTTCTCTTCGCTTCTTTTCTTTTCTTTTCTTTTCTTCTTCTTCTTCTTCTTTTTTTTTTTTTTTTTTTTCTTTTTCTTTGGTTTAGTTTTGATTTTAGGTATAACAGTTTTGTTATGTGTCTGTATATAGCTTACAATTTTTAGATTTACAAGTTTTCTTCTCGGCTTTACTTGCCGTTCCCGCGAAGTCCTTCCTAGATCCTGCGATTTACGTATTTCTAGTAAAACAATTATTGAATTCGGCTTTCCTATCATATGAAGAATTATGGACTTCTCGGGGGGTGCTATCCGTCGAGGCCGTATAACACTCTCCTCGATCTCCATAATTCTTCATAAGATACTCAGCCTCATTCATTAATTGTTAAATATTAAGAACTGACATATTTCGAGATTTGCGCATGGAATTGTCTGTTTAACTGCAGCTGAAAGAGTTGCTTATTTCATCCCTTGATTCACTCTTTTTAAGTCTTTAAAGGAAATAGAGAAGAGAAAAAAGACCGTGCAATTTATTGATGAAACAGTCAAATCGCTCAAGAAGGACACCGTTGGTATCAGCAAGTGTCAATCTTTGAGTGTTCTTCCTTCTCTCTCTTTAGCCCTTCACCCCTAGTACAGGACAAAGAAAAATTTGGCAGGTAGTGAGTGCCTTATGTATTGAATGCTGGGGCAAGGCTAGGAACTCGGAAACCAGGCACAAATCAGTTGAATGATAGGATTTCATATTGATTCCGTGCCAATTTGGAAGGTAACTGATTGTTCTAAATTTTTGCCGCTTTTCTTGTTGCCTTGGTATAGCGAAAGACCACTTCTGCAGTGAATGAAACGACAATCCTAGAGGAAAATCGTTTCTTATCTTCGCACCTGTCATGAAATACCTGAACTGTATTCGCCAATTTCAAGTAATGGCCCACAGTGGAGAGACCTCCACTCATTTTAACTGATACTCCTGTTATCTCGCCCAAATCATTCACTAACTTTAGCCATGGACGGGAGCTGATAGGCGAAGTGTAAGTAGAAGGGAGAAAGGGCTTTAATTTTCGATAAGCACCCTTAACAAAGGAAGAGCCGTGAAAGCGGTCTTAGAGATGCCAAGCTCTGGTAATCTGAAATCTGTAGTCTTTCCTTTTGTAGCCTTAACCTCTCCTCTAATCGTTATTAGCCAATAAGAGCTACCATAAAACAACTCGACGCAGCGCCCAAATGATTTTGTTTATGGTCTAGTACGTTGATCTTAGAAACAGTCGTCTCCACATTGAAGAAAATATTCTTTTTCAATGATGAAAGACCCCAAACTACTGAATGAAGAAACCGCAAATGAACTTATAATTTTTAAGTTTGAATGCGGAGCAAAAATACTGGAAAGGCATTTTTATCCGGAAGATTAATTGACCCGTAAAGGAAACCGGAAGATTCGTCAGGGATATGGGGGAGTTGTCACATATGCGATCTGCTCGTTCTGAATAAAAGTCTCGGTATCCCCTACAATCAAATGGTGGGAAATGCAAATTGTTTGGGAGGGATCGGTCACTTCTGTATGAAAAATATTTTCCCTATTTTTACCAAACCTTTAACTTGCGGTGATAGAAAAGAATACGGCAGGGTTCGTTCCGGTCTTTTGCAACTAGATATTCTCAAGTCGTGGAAAAGCTAGCCTCCTAGGAGCGTCGAAGCCCCGAAGCTGACAAAAACATGGGAAGCTAAACGGTAAGACGTGAGATCTCTCTTTGTGAACTTTCCTCCATGAAAATTTTGTCGTCCGGTTAATGGAGAATACAGTCTTGCGCGAAGCGCGAGAGACCTGCGTCGAGCGCGGGATGAGGGGAAGAGAGAAAACGTATTGAGGCCGGAAGTTGTTAAAGTAGCGATTGAATTTGTCCTGTGCGGTTGCGTCCTTAGTTCTTGTGATGAATTAGTTTTATAAAACATAGCTTGTGTACAGACGCCCCCTCCCCTCAGAAACATTAAAATATAACAAGGAGAAATTTGATGCTGGTCACTCTAAGGGCCGTAAAAGGTTTTAGCCGAAGTATGAACCAATGAACCAGTCAAAATCCTTTCACTCAGTATGAGAAGGAAGAAGCAAGGAAGAAGTAAATGTCTTATTTGGGGGGGGGGGAGGGGTATTTTAATGAATTTTAGGGTTATGTATTACATTTTTTTACACACTTACTCATGAATACGTAGGAAAAATACAAAAAAAGGAAAAGAAAGCTAAACAAAGAAAGAAACACACCCCGGTATCTTCTTCTCTATTTACATGAAAAAAATTAATAAAAATTAACAATAAATGAAGTAAGCGGCGAAAGGATTGTATGCTAATGAGATTTATATTTTGCTCCATTTAAAGGAAAGTCTTACGAAAACAAGATGGATGAATTTAGGTTTCTGGGAAACTGTTCACCTATGCCTTCCCTAAGGCAACTTTGGGTTGGTGGTTTCCTATAAAACCTAACTTGATACAATATACCTCAGTGTACCTCAGGGTACCATTGTTGGCCCCTGCTCTGTGATATTTATCAGAGTGAGTGACCTTCCTGACGTCGTCAGAGCTATGTATCAAACATGACGTTAAATGCCCCTGAGTGTAAAGTGTTAGCAGTCACGCGGAAGAAATCAC